CTTTATATAGATCAGGGGGAAATGTAAGCTCTATTCACTAGAAATATCCTTGCCTCCCTGTTTGCTCAAACTGACAAACTGACAACTAGTCCATGGGGAAGCATTTGCACACAGATGTCAGAGCTCAGATTCCCAACAAGGAATTTGGGGATACTGAATTTCAAACCTTTCAGCAGTATAATTTTCTGACTCATTCCTTGTGGGTTACTTGTTCATTTGTGTTCATGTTGTTTTGCAGTGAAATCCCCAAGAGAAAAATAAGACACATCTCAGGATAGTGAAAGATGGTGTTTATTTGCTTCATTTCTGAGCAAGGAATACCAGTACCATTTACTGCCAGTACTGGAGTTCCTTGCTTAAAATTTCTAAAGTCTTGTCATTCAGAGTATCCATAGGTCATAACATACCAAGCTTTTTAGATAATAAAGACCATCTTCCAACATCTTGAGATGTGTTTCCCTTCACTCTTGTGCATTTTATTGGATGCTTTCCAGTTTTCTTTCTTTTGTTGCCTTGCAATTGCCATGAGGACTAAAACACTGAACAAAGCTGTTACTTTGCACCACAAACCCACTCTCCTTTGCTTCTCACCTTTTCCTCTTGCCAGTTCAACTGGGCCACAGTGGAACGGGGTACTCCAGCAGACAGGTAACCCAAAGCTTTGGTTCGCTGGCGGTGCAGCCTCAGCATCTGTTCTATAGGAAAGCGGAGCCTCACCCAGTATTCCAAAAGGCCATAATCCTCACCATTGGCACCTACAGTGACACAGGCAGATGTGAGGTTGCAGAAAGCAGGGCAGAAAGGTTGTAGTGATAAGAGAAGAAGGGGAAACACAACAAAGGGTAAAATACTCCAAATTTGCTTCTTAGGGTCTTTTCACACTACATTATGATTCCACTTAAACTGCCATGGCTGGATCCTAAGGAATCCTGGGGTTTATCGTTTGGTGAGGCACTACAGTTCTTTGACTGAGAACTGGAAACATACCTCCCTGAACTGCAAATCCTAGGATTCCACAGGATGTTGTCATGACAGTTGTGGTGGGAATATAGCACTATAATTATGCATTTTCACAGCATCACAGAAGGGACAAACAAGTGTTATCTCCTCCAGCCCTCTGCCAGTGCAGAAAATTCACAGCTAAAGCATCCCTGAAAAATAACCATCCAATTCCTGCTGCAACAAAGGAGAATCCTTCATGTTCCAAGTCAGACTCTTCCCCTGTCAAACAATTCTTACTGTCAGGAAATTCTTCCTAATGTTTAGTTGGAATTTCCTTTCTTGTCATTAGAAACTATCCTCTGGAGCATTAACTGGGTTTCTGTCCTCTCCTGCTCCCCCCCCCTTTTGTTTATTTCTATAGAGCACACAACTACCCTGGATGTCTTTTTTTCAGGAAGAATATGAATTAACTATTTGAGGATCCTTGGAAGTATAACTTGTTACTTTCTAGAGGTCATTTTTCCAGTTTCTGCAGCCATGTAATGAGGAACATGGAATAAAAGTTCTGGAGATGACCCGAATGAACAGACAGAAGCAGGAAGGCAGTGTGAAGGCCTCCACTGGGATAGCAGCAATACAATAGTGTTTGGAGATGGGCTCAGCTCAGTTGGTACTGCCTCAGCCATTCTCAGTTGACAATCAGCCTGCAATATGAGCCAGGCAGCAAACACTCATCAATTGATGGGAGCAATGTCTATCATCCACTCTGTGGAAAAGACACACAGAGATGCCGCCCTGCTTTCTGGACATTTGGGACCAGACCCTGATGACTCTTTTGCCTGTCCCTCTTGGTTTTCAAGGCTACTGCTGATTGATTCCTTGTCTTCTTGACTGGACTACTGATTAACCACACAGCTTCTCTTTTCTCCCAGCTTCTCTTCTCTCCCAGTGAATTATGACAGCCAGAACAATTCTTACCATGAAGCACAGCTGTGGCATGGACTTGTTCCCCAGTGCCCAGGGCTTGGCCAAAGCGCAGCCAGCAGGAGGCCAGGGTGGTGTGGTCCATGGCAGAGGTGAGGTGGAGATCAAGGCGACAAGTGACCTCTTGCAGGTATTGTAGGAAGAAAGGATCCACCTGGACAACATACTGGGATGTGAAGTTGTACCGGGGCCGGATGCCCTGCACCACAGGGGTGCAGTGGGTCTCAAAATCATAGAAGGAATATGTGCAGAAGGTGATGGGCTCTGGGTCCCCCAGGAGACGCAGCAACTCGGCGGAGAGCACAGCGCCAGAGATGTGCAGCTCAAGGAGGTTCTCCCCATGCTTCAGCTGTGGGGCCTTGTCGTTGTCGGCCACCACAGATGCGTCAACTTCATCTACTCGAAATGGGACAGCCCTGGTTCCATAGGCCACATCCTTCAGCTGCTCTGCAAGGCAGGGAAGGAAGACACAGACAGAGCCATAAACATTTATTCCTCAACACTCCCCATGACTGCGTTCAAAGTGCAACATTATTCCTCCTTGACTAAATAGCTAAAGGTGCACATATAGAACAGCAACCAGAAATATGAAGAAAAGGGAGCACAGATGGGCAACTCTATCAAGTTTGCTTTTTCCTGCACTGGAAAGTTTGAAACCTCCAGTTCTTTCCCATGTGATAGGATGATGCTTGCAGGCAAAAGCAAAAACATATAAATAAAAATTTTAGATTGTGAGCCTGAGGGCAGGGAAATGTCTAATTAACCATTTATAAGCTACTCCGATAGCTTTTTGGCTGAAGATTAGGGTATAAATATTAATAATATTAATAATACTAATAATATTAATACTACTACTAATAATACAATGTATAAATTTTAAAACACACACATACACACACACTGGGGCTATATCTGCACTGTAGAAATAATGCAGTTTGACATTGCTTTAATTGCCATCACTCAGTGCTATGGAATCCTAGGTTCTGTAGTTTATTGTGGCACCAGAGCTCTCTGACACAGAAGCCTAAATATCACACAAAACTACAAATCCCAGAATTCCACAGCATTGAGCCATGGCAGCTAAAGCAGTGTCAAACTTGATTATTTTTGCAGTGAAGATGCATCCCAGGTTTCACTAATGCGGAAAATATATATTTGTTGTTGTTGTGTGCCTTTGAGTTGTTTCAAACTTATGGTAACCCTAAGGCGAAACTATCATGGGGTTTTCTTGCCAAGATTTGCTCAAAGGAGGTTTGCCATTGTCTTTCCCTGAGGTTGAGAGCATGTGATTTGGCCAAAGTCACCCAGTGGGCTTATGGCTGAGCTGGGAATCAAACCCTGGTCTTCAGAGTGGAAGTCCGACACTCAAACCATTACATCACACTGGCTCTATATACATACAGAGACCTTTTTCCAGACAGTGCTCTCACTCTGAGATTCCTTCCCCAAACCCAAAAAACTCCAGAAGAGGATCCCTCCATTCAGCAATTGGTTCCATGAGTCTACTTCAATTGGGATTATCCAATAGGATTCGGGCCTGAGAGAGAATACGTGCCAAAGAGTGTCTTTTTCCCATTGGGCATACCTTCCAGTTGGCGGATGCGGGAGCTACGTAGGTCCAGAAGCCGAGCCATCTGCTCTTGCTTCCCCTCATGCTCCTGCTTCTCTCTGGTGCTCTGCAGCAGCACGCTTTCTAGCTCCGCCTAAACCCAGAAACACCCCCCAAGAGAGCATGGTATGCTCAGATTTCAGTGACAATGATGACAAATACGAATTGGGACTCAGTTCCATCACCCTCCCAGCTGCTGCCACAATAATCTGCTCAATGGGTCCTCCACAAACCATTTTGACCCTGCATACTGTTCCCCCTTAAACCAATGGTTCCAATTTCTAAACCATTTTTGTGCAATCGATCCCTTTGGCAGCTTGGTGAACCCTACAGACCCCTTCATAGTTGCATGCGATCTAGAGGCTAGTCTGAGAATTAAATTTTAAAGTAGTGATGATTTTAAACAATATTTCACAGTATCTGCAACTGTAACGCAATACAAAAATATCTGTGATTTCTATTGGTCACAGAGTCAGAGGCACTGATAATACTACGGTGCTTTGTTGCCCACATTCATAATGGAAAGAAATGCTAAATTTCAGTTAGAGAGAATAATGAAAATGAAGTTGTAATTCTTTAATTCCCCCCACTACCATGACCATTCAGGTTCATGAAACCCCTGAAATTTATCCACAGACCGCTTGGTGGTCCGTAGACTCCTGGTTATGAACCTCTGCCTTAAACCAATCACAGAGGTCTCCTGTGTGGTTTCCTGCTACACAATCCACTGATATCCAGCAGGAAAAGATGTTCTCCAGCCTGAAGAAGTGATATGGAAAGTTAATGTTACAGCCTGAATCTTTACAGGCTCCACAGCTATTATTGAGAGAGGAGTGGATTCAGATGGGACAGCACCACCCCACCATCCCATTTGGTTGTTGGATCATCCTGAGACATGAAAGGCAGAGCCGAACTACTACCAGCAATATAATTATTGGTGACGCAAGATAGGGACTAGTTGTGCTTCAGCCTCATGAAGATCTGAATTTCAAAAGACATTGTACAAACCAAGTATATTTCTGGGAGACTTCTGGACCTCCAGATGCTGCTGGATTCCAGCCTCCCATCAGCCCCAAGCTGCATGACATATCAGCAAGGTGATGGGAGAGGTGGGATGGCATTTCCCCAAGGTGGTGCCCTCCAGATATATGGGACTAAAGACAACTGGAAATGATGCTGATGGTGGTCCAACATAGCTAGAGGCTTCCAAGTTAGGGGATGCTGCTGTAGGAAACTGGAGCAAGGAAAGGTTTCTTGATTACATACTAGACTAGTCCATTGGTGCTGTGCCCATTTCACTGGAATGCAAACTCTCAGGATTTAGTTTGACTTTGGAGAGGCCATTGTTCAGAGCAGAATACACAGAATATGGATCCAGAACAGCTCTGCCTTTCAGATAACCCTCTCCACCTGGGAGTCCTCCAAGACCCCTATGCCCCAGCGGCTGGGTAGAAATCTCTTTGTTTCACCTGGTAATCGCGGTTGATGCGGTGTTGCAGAATGAGCATGTCCCGGGTCTTCTCCAGCTCTAGCACAGTCTCCGCATGGGCAGCCTCTGTCTCATGGAGTTTTCGCTTTAGATTCTGCTGGCTCAATATCTCTTCTTTCACTGTCTCTATCTCTTTCTCTTCCTTTTCCTCCAGGTACAGGGACTGCAAGGTGTGTGCAGCAGGGAAGGAAATGATAAACAAAAATGTGTAGATTCACCATTTCCAATAGGCTGTAGTCTATCCCCATTATATTTAAGTGAAAGGAAAATACCCATTTTCCAAGACCAGAATTGAACATATGGCTGCTATGTTGGATTCATATTCTCTCACTGCACTCTCACAACAATGCTACATAAGTTACCCTGCTAAACCTAGTTTCACCCAGAGCCTACCTGGATTTGACTGGGAAAAGGTTCCTCTTCTCTTGCCGGATCTTCCAAAATGACTGCCTTCTCTTGTGGGGAGTTTACTTCTTGCACATGTGCCACCAGCCGATGCACTTCTTGCTTCAGTTCATCATTCCGAGCTTATGTGAAGAGACAAAGGTTTGGGAGGGATCATGGAGTTTCCATTCAGGGTGTTTTGGTTGGGACTGAACTTTCCCTTGCTATGACTTTGTTTTTCTCAACCCTCATTGTAGAACTAATGGTGATTGATTGATTGACTGATTGATTTTCAAGGAGCCAATAACAAACCATGTGACTTAAGGTACAACCAGGATAACTCATTATGCCATTCTTTGTAACATCCACCATTTCATTAAAAATCAATTATTTAATTGATGAATGGACTGATGATGAATTAATCCAACAAATCAGATTTCTGCCTTCCAAACATTAACAGCAACTTCCCCCTTTCCAAATATAGCTTTATAAATTTATTTATTTATTTCCTTTATATGCCGCCTTTCTCCCCAGAGGGACTCGTTTTATATCTAATGTTCCAAGCTCTGTTTCTCTCTATCATTTGGAACACAGCAAATTTCCTATTAAAATACACTGGATATTTGGGTCTTTGCACATTGTGACAGACCATGGTGTGGCTCATTGGTGTGATGTGAAAACTTGCCTCTGCTAAAAAGCAATGGTTAGCCAGTCCCAAACCATAGTTAGAAACCATGGGGTGTTGGTGATTGTTTTTGGCTTATGAACTCTGACTTATTTACATCATGGCTTGTCGTGTTATCTCACCTGACAGCTGTGGTTTATCCTTGGTTTGTTTCCACAAGTGCCTGTCCTGAAATAGGAGCTAACAAATGAGGATGGCAGAGGAACAAACCAGAAATAGATAAGCCAAGTCACAAAGTTGGTTTGGTCATCTGCCATTCAATTCATGGCTTAAGCAGCAAATCATGGATAAAACAAACCTTGTCTTATTGTGATGTGTGAATGTACCCATTCTTCATTCCGTTCAGAGGCTCTGTAAACAGTCCTTACATAACGCCAATCTCTAGCTAACAATCTTACCTATTTCCTTTTCTAGCTGTTCCTCAAGGTTTTTCTTCTCTGCAATCACTGAGCTGAGTTGTTCCTCCAGGCAAGGGATGTTGTCCTTCTGGGGCACATCATCCAGGTTTTGCTGGGCAGCAGTGATGCAGCTAACGACACAGTGATGAAAGAGAAAAAAGACTCGCCCATATCTTTAAGGTACCAGAAGACTCTGAGTGTGTTTAGTAGTTTGATTCCACTTTACCGTCATGGCTTCATCGTACAGAATCCTGGGATTTATAGTGAGGAGTATCCAGACTTCTCTTCTAGACAGCTTTAGAATTTTATTCAAGAGGATACTAAGTCCCTCACCAAACTATTAATCTCAGGATTCCATAGGATGCTGTCATGATAGTTAAAGCAGTGTCAAATTGGTCTAATGGTAATGGTATCCTTTCAACAAACACTTTCAATAAACAAAAAGAAAGAGAAAAACCCAAGGATGACAGACAAAACACTATAAGCAATAAAGAAAAGA